CTGTGTTCACACACCATGGATCACCCTTGATTCCTATTTCTCTAACTCGCTATATATGCCGGCTCTGCCTAAAATGTATTCCACATCTGCTTGCTTCTTCCCCTCTTCCCTGCTATCATCCTGACTAAACTCTCTCACCTCCCATCTGAACTATTGCGGGGACCACTTCACTAAGCTTTGTTAATTTTATTTTTACACTCGTGTCCCTCTACAATCACTTCTCTGCTTAACTTCCAAAAAGAATGCTCAAGAATGTAATTGAGACCATGTCCAGAATGCTTTGATTAATTCTGATAAGCCTGGGAAGTTCTTACCTATCTACCTCTTCCAGCAACCAGCTGCTTCACACATTCTGCTGTTCACACTGGCCTTCCTGCCACACCCCCAACACTCACACACACACACACACACACACACACCCCAGCCCTGCCCTCCATCCCAACACAACTAGCACATTTCTGCTGCAGGGACTCTGCACATGCTGTTCCCCAGCCAATCATGGTCTCCCCCACATTTTCATATGGCTCCCTCATATCTTTCAGGTATCTGTTCAAATTTGTCACTTACCCAAAAGAGACTTTCTCTGACTATCCTTTATAGAATAGCACTTGCCCTAACTGGCATACTTGATTGTTTCCCCTTGCTCTGCTTTTTTATCCTGGCATATCCGTATCTGTCATCTTGTACATTCCTATTTCTGGTCCCCGTCCCCTACATGAGATCCAAAAGGGCCAGGGCTGAGTTATATCCACAGCACATGGCACACTGTCTGGCACAGAACAGCCATGTGGAATATTTGCGGATGAGTCCTGGAACCTTAAGAAATGCCCAGAAATGCTAGGCTGGAAGCACTGAAGTAGAGAAAACAAACACTGGGTTGTTGCTTATTCAGAGACAAATGCAGCCAGCTATTTCAAACAATAAGACAGTGGGAGTAGTTAGGGAAAAAAATGTTTTGGAGAAAAAAAGAAGATGTGCCCCAATCCCATGCCTTACTCCAAACTCTATCTGGTTTTTATACTTCTGAAAAGGGGGTGATGATGACTAAATCAGGTCACTTATTGAAAAATGAAAAAAAAATTTGGAAAAGAGAAGTAGAAGATGGTCAGATTCCAGTACCAGCTGCCCAGTAAACAGTCTGTCAACACAAATACGGGCACTGGTGTTCAAGGGTCATGGGGGTGGAGGCGTGGGACTTAAATTCTCATGCAACATAACAATAGAGCATGCTTAAAATCAATAAAGTGAACACAGAGCAGTACAAGTTCCTATTTATACATATGGAGATAAATATCGAAAGAAACTTTGGAAAGACCAGAAAATAGCTAGCAAGTTCTTGGGGGCCGGGTGTTCTGAGGGGGCTGGAGTAGAAGACTGCTTAAATACAGTTGGCTTTAACTATGAGCTGGTATTACTATTGAAAAAGTAAACATACTTATTAAAAAGTATATAAATCCATAACTCCACAAGTATGCCACAATAAATGCCAAATGCACCAAGGATTTAAAATAGAAGAATGAAAATTCTAGAAGAAAACCTTGGCATACTCCTTCATAACCTCAGAGCAGGGAAGGGCTTTCTAGCTTTGATTTATAATCCAAAGGCATAAAAGAAAAGAGTAAAAGAAAAAACTTAGGTGTGGTAAAAACAAACCAACCACCATAAGCAAAGACAAACAACCAGCTGGGGAAACTATTTGTATGTCAAATCACAGACGTCACCTCTCTAATGTATAGAAAACTCCAGGGTAAGATTTCTAAATATTTAATAAGAAATATGGGCAAAGCATATGAAAAGACAATTCACAAAAAACGGAACACAAAATAGAATTTTAAAGCATGCTCAGCCTCATTCACAACAAAATGCAAAATTTTAAAAAGTCCTCTTTATTTATTTCAGTTACAATTGACATTTAATATTAGTTTATATTAGTTTCAGGTGTACAGCACAGTGGTTAGACATTTATATAATTAATGAAGTGATCCCCCCATTAGACTAGTGCCCACGTGGCACCACACATAGTTATTACAATATTACTGACTATATTCCCTAATAATCTGTACTTCTTAATCCCTTTACCTTTTTCATCCAAACCCCCAAACCCGCACCCATCTGGCAACCAAAAAATATGGAACATTTCACGAATTTGTGTGCCATCCTTGTTCAGAGGTCATGTTAATCTTTGTATTGTTCCATTTTAGTATATGTGCTGCTGAAATGAGCACACAAAATACAAATTAAAACTGAATTCAGATACCACGTTTTACCTATTAGATCAGCAAGATCCAAAGGTCTGATAACATACTCTGGGGGCCAAGCTGTGGGAAAGAGACAACCTCATACGTGGCTAATGAGAGAACAAATTAATCCAATTCCCACAGAGACAACGTGGCAGTTTCTATCCAAAGCACAAATGTACACACCCTTTGACCCAGCAATTAAAAGTTTGATGCTTATGCAAATGAACCTATCCATACCCGTGTACATTAATAACCTTAGCATTGTTGTAATGGCAAAATACTGGAGACATCCCCATCTATGGCATGAGCCTACATGCAGTTTGCTTGGGACACTTTACACCTTTGCTCCAGTATAATTAATAATAGAGGCCACCACTTTCACTCTTGTGTGTCCTAGTGTAGATGAGAGATTGTACAGCTACCTCCATAGGAGACTAGATAATTTCTGCTACCTCCATACAGTGGAATACTAGGCAGCAGAAACGAGTGAGAATGTTCTCTATGTTTTGATAGAGAAATGTCTCCAAGATACATTTCTAAGGGAAAAGAAAGCAAACAAAACAAAACAAAAACAAGATGCAGACCTTTCCGGTTAAAAAAGGGGAGAGTATATAATAGTCACATTAACTGTATATAAGACACTCGGGAATGAAACACAAAATAACTGATAAAATGGTCACTGCTATGCATGTGTACGAGGAGGGCCGGGGAGACTGTGTAGATGGGGAACTTTTCACTGTATATCGTTTCATAATATTTTACTTTTGAGCTGAGTAAAAATAAGTTTTTGAACCTAGTCAAAGAATTCAACTTTAAGATGAAAAAGTATATACGTTGTCACAGAGACTTCTAGGTGCCTACACAATATTAATTCTTCATTTCTTTTTAGTAACAGAACCCCACTTTTTAGCCAGCCTCACTGCTGTTCACCTAAACGGCTACATCTCCAGTCTCTTTTGCAGCTAGGTGTACCCATAGGACTAAATTCTGCCCAATGATACACGAACGGAAGTATTATATGGATCTTCTAGGAAGACTTAAAAGGGACATGATACTCCCATCTAACCTGTCACCTGGAATATAATTGTGATATTATATTATGACTAACTGAAACTCTGTTAGTCATATTAGATCATGAAGACAAATGCCGCTCCTTCAGGGATGTCAGAGCGAAAAGGGGCCTGGGTCCCAGATTTTATGACTCCAACATACCAGCTTTGGACTTTCTACCTTTGACTTTTGTGTGTATGTGAGAGAAATAAATAAATTTCTTATCTTGTCTAAGACAGTATTTTTCAGGTCTCTATTTCTTGCAGCCTAAGGTAAGCCTAAGTGATACATAAGGGCACCGATAAAATACTGAACGGATATTAATTTTGGTAATAGACAATTAATTGCTCAATTTACATTGTACAATTCAATAAGTTTTTTCAATTATAGTTGGCATACAGTAATACACCAGTTTCTATTGTAGAGCCTAGTGATCAGAGATCCACATAACTCGCAAAGCGATCGCCCCACGAAATCTAGTACCCTTCTTCCCCCTTACATATTTATTACATTATTAACCATCTTCCCCATGCTGCACTCTACATCTTCATGTTTATTCTGCAATTATCCATTTGTACCTCTTAATCCCTTTGCCTTTCTTTTTGTCCCCCACCAACTCCCTGACATCTAGTATCCCTCTAAATATTCTCTGTATCTATGAGTTTATTTCCACTTTTGTTGTTGTTGTTTATTTCATTTTTTTGGATTCCACATGTAAGTGAAATCTTGCGATATTTGTCTTTCTCTATCTGATCCATTTCATTCAACACAATACCCTCTAGGTCCACCAAGGCAATATCTTTTTCCATCCCCTTCCTTTTAGTCTGTGTGTGTCTTTTAATCTGAAGTGAGTCTCTTGTAGGCAGCATATATAGGGGTCTTGTTTTCTTATCCATTCAGCCACTCTATCTTTTGGTTGGAGCATTTACTTAATTCTTTTCCATTTGAGGTACTTGTTGATAAGAATGTAGTTAGTACCATTCTTTATTCATGTTTTTGATACATGTTCTTTCTTTTTAAAGAAGTCTCTCCAACATTTCCTGTAATACTGGCTTGGAGTTGATAAATTCTTTTAGCTTATTTTTGTCTAGGAAGTTCCTTATCTGTCCTTCGACTCTAAATGATAGCTTTGCTGGATAAAGTACTCTTGGTTGTAGGTCTTGGGTTTTTTCATCATGTTGAATATTTTTTGCCAAACCCTTCTGTCCTGCATAGTTTCTTTTGAGAAATCAGCTACCAGTCTTATGGGTGCTCCCTTGTAGGTAACTATCTGCTATTCTCTTTCTGATTTTAATATTCTTTCTTTGTATTTAAACTTTGGCATTTTAATCATGATGTGTCTTGGTGTAGGCCTCTTTGGATCCCTGGTTTTGGGAATTCTCTGAGCTTCCTGGGGTTTTATGTCCATTTCCTTCACCAGATTAGGGAAGTTTTCCATCATTATTTCTTCAAACAGCTGTTCAACATCTTGATCTTCTTTTTTACATTTAATTGTGTCCCATAGGCTCCTTAAATTATTGTTATAGCCTTGGATTCTTTTTTCTTGCCATTCTGATTGAGTGTCCTTGGCTTCCCCATCCTCTATATTGGTGGTTCGATCCTCTTCTTTATCCACTCTGTTGATTCCCTATAATATACTCTTCATTTCTGACTGGCTCCTTTTTGTAATTTCCATTTCTGTTTTTATATTTTTTAAATCATAATTCATCTACACATCCCCTAAGTTCATTGAGCATCTTTATAACCACTGTTCTGAACTCTGCATCTGTTAGATTGCTTGATTCTATTATTCCTGGATCTCTGTTCTGTTCTCTCATATGGTTTCTGCTTCTTTATCTTCCCATTTTGGCTGCCTTTCTGTGTCTAAGCAAAGCTCCTAAGTCTCCCAGTGTGGCCATGTGTAATAGGCATCCAGTGGCACAGCCCTGAGACGGGTTCAGCTGCAGGCCAAGTTTAGCCCTGGCCTGTGTCCCTCTGGGGCCACCTGTTGAGATTCAGCAAGCAATCCACGGATGTTGTGCTTATAGTTGCCTCAAGAAATCACACCAGAAACCGAGGCCAGCTGCCTCCAGTACGAGTCTTGGTGCTGATCAGCAAGGAGCACAGTACTCGCTGAGGACACAACTGGATGTGGCTTGGGTGGGCTGCAAGTTGGGGGAGGCGGAGTTTCAGGAAATCCTCTGGGCAGAGCGACCTCTGTTATTCAGTTTGATGACATCTCAGCTATAGCAGTGCTGCGTCAGCACACTGGGAGAGGGGAGGGCTCAACAGAGGAACAATGGATACCATCGGCACTTCTGTACAGAGCGAGTCTCACCTCTGGCCCTCACTCTGACAACTCAGTGCCCCACTGTAAGTCCTTGGTGCCCCCTGAGCAGCCTACTCAGCGCCGGTGTTCAGAGTGAGCGGGTCCGTCACCGTAAAAGTCCAGTGGCGGACATGGCCCTTTTAAGAGGCGTCTGCAGCTGCCACTGCCACAGCCTCTGTCCCTCTCAGACACTCGGGACTGGGCAGCCTCAAGTCTTTACCCCCTCCTACCTTTTATCGTTGCAGGGTGATTAATTGTTTCTCTCCCTAGTTGTAGTGCTTTTGTTCATCTAGATCTCAGGCTACTTTCCTTGTTGTTTGCTCCATGTTTCTGTCACAACTTTGATTTGGTCGCAAGAGGGATGATTCTATCATCTACGCCATTTTTTCCTGTCTCCCTCATTAACTTGGTACACTGAGAGCTTGCTGTCGTTCTTTCAATGGCAGGGTGAAGATTTTTAACAAAACAGGTACAAAAGGCGGGATCTTCCACTTACGGTTTTACCACTGTTATTCTGCTTTGGTCTATCATCTACGCCATTTTTTCCTGTCTCCACTTACGGTTTTACCACTGTTATTCTGCTTTGGAGATGAGGGGAGGCAGAAGTGACTATGGTAGGCATGCTTGGTGGGACAGAGGCTCATGCAAGATTCGTACGGGGGAAGACTGCATTACCTGGAGCCAGAACGAGGGCTGGATGGGCAGCCACCATTGAGCCTTAGTTGGGGCCCCCTCTTGGTAATCCATTTTTGATGTGATGCCAATAGATTTTTATTTTCTTTGTCCTTTTGGATAATTTCTGTACTGAACATGTATTTTAATAATAACTGTCACTTTGAAATAATGACATTTACACAATTATAGGAAATAGATCTTCCAGCTTCTAGTTTTGTGGTAGGAGAACTTCATTTTCAAAGGAGATGATGGCGATGACTAGGGGCAACATCTCTCAAAGCCACTCATCACAGCCCTCCTCTATAAGCTCAGGAGGTTCTTCCCTATCTACTTCTTCCAGCAGCCAGCTGCCTCAAACACTCTGCTGTTCACACTGACCTTCCTGCCATGTCCCAGCACACATGCACACACACAGATATGCACATGCATGCACGCACACGTCCACACATACATGTACACACACATCGGCCCTGCCCTCCATCCCAGCACAACCCCATCACATCTCTGCTGTTACAGGACAAGCTAGAACCTACAAGTTGAGGAAAAACTGCCTGTTGATTTCAATTACAAACAAGACCTAGAAGATGCTCAGAGCCAGTCAGATCCATATTTACCAAATCCCCAGGCTCCATTTGTCTGCTCTCTGCTGGGAAACAGGTTTCCATGGTCTATAGACTGAAGCAAGGAGAAAATCCTCCATGGCCTGGGGACGTGGACAATGAATTTCATGTGGGTTCCTGGGTGACTCAACCCGGGAAGACTGAAAGGCCAGCAAACGATCCTGGAATCCAATCTTGGTTTCCTATATTGCCATGTACAAACAATTCCAGACAGAGAACCTTTCCAGAAACACGTTGAAAGGGAGTCTGAGAAGGCCAGTTACCACCATGCTACCTGATTTTCTGTTCCTGGATGTCTGCAGTTACGCAATTTGTGATTCACCATTTTGGCT